CCTAACAGAAGCTCTGTTGTGGCGTTGGTCCACCCCTCAAATCCTTCCCCCCTGGCTGGGGCAGGTGTGTCACCCTAATCTCTCCCCTCCCCCCCCCCCCCCCCCCCGCCCCCGCCTCCCCCAGGCTGAGCAGGGCTGTGCTCCACGGTCCTTACTTTGGAAGAGGAAGAGGAAATGAGATTGTCAAACAGGGTTTTCTCGCCCCGTTACTCAATACAGCGCCCGCTTCAATCATCAGTGAACGAGAAGGCAGAGTGACCTTTACCACGAGTGGTGGGTGCGATTTAACTCTTAAACTGACCCCTCACCAGAGCTGGTCTCTGTCCCCTACCTGCTCATGCGCCAGACAAACAACAATAAACAACACCAAAGTAGCAGACGGAAATGAAAACAATTTAACCACATGTGACTGGCAGGGAAGTCAAACAAGTACGTCCTGCTTCTTTGTTTCCTTTCTACCTTCCCCATCCCTACTTCCCCTACCTTTTTGCTTTTCTTTAGCTCATCTGCTCTTTCACACTTGAGGACATGATAAAACTGTGGAGCACTTAGAGACACAACTCAGACACGTGTGGAGAACATCACACACTTACTACAAATAGAAAAATCATAGATCTCACACCACACGCACGCACCAGCACGCACGTACTCACACACACACACACGCACGCACAACACACACACACACCACACACACACACCAACAACACACACACAAGCATACACTCAGATAGTATAGATTATGTTTTATACTGACTACAAACATTCACACAGATACAGAAACAGGAGTCATAACCGTTTTAAGGTGCGTCACTTCCGCCCATGCCCAGACGTTGGTCTGGCAGAGAGGAGACAGTGTGGTGAGTGTGTGGGGGGGACAGAACGAGCCAGCCCTGCCTGTTACCCGCACTGAGCAGGCTTTCAGTCTCTGAGATTCAGATGGGTCCAGTTGCCAATCGAACCGTTCACTATTCCTACAAACTCGTCACACACTCCATATCCTGCGTCTTCCAACCAGCCCGCTGTTCCTCTTGCGCGCTCCTCCAATCACAAGCCGAGCTTCTGTGTCTGCCCTCCTCCGTGGGTCCCCTCCTGCCTTCCTCCTCACTCTGTTGTCCCCTCACACCTGCTAGCATCCTCCTCGTCCCCTCGAGCGCCATGGATGGAGCCTCTGCCCCCCCGCCCCCCCGGCCTCGCTGAGCCTCGTCCCTTGCGGTGCTGCCTGCTGTGTGGAAGGTGAGAGGTCACTGGTGTGCTGGAGTGGAGAGGTCTGTGATTGTACGTTGGCGCGCCCGGGTGTTACCGTTGAGAAGTTGTTGGTCCGCCTCTCCATCTCTTCGATGGTCATTCGCATGCGTGCCGCCAACTCGCTTAGTCACCTCGATGAAAGACGGGTCCTGGTCGAACTACCCAAACCTCTGATATAGCACCTGGGGGCAGAGGTGAGATAGAGAAACCTAAACGAGAAATTCTAAACCCTCTATGATTTTCTTTTTGACATCGTTCTATTCCAAAGAGTTATAGATTCAATAAATAAATCGTTAATTAGCCCTCTGAGCAGTCCAAATCACACACACTCACCGCCTCACCAACTTGCCTGCGCTGCCGACACAGGAGCTGAGTCTCTATCCAGTAGCGAGGGCACTGTGAGCGACACTGGCCGCTGTATGGTCTCGACTGGAAACACTCGGTTGGGGTCTAGGACTTGGCCCTCGGCTGTTCACCATTACTGTCGTTGTACCTAAGAGAAATAAATGCTGTTTATTAGAGTATCATAGAATCCTCCTGATTGCGCTCTTGGACAATGACAGTGTATTTGTAACAGTTATTTTCCAGGGCATAATCCTACCAGGGCTCCACAGTTGACAGGAGGGCATGCTGGTGTGATCTTTCTCATGGGAGGAATTACTCGTGCTCCTCCAAGCCTCAGAGAAGCACTCTTGGTAGGAGGGTCACTGCCAATGCTAGAGACAACGACAGAGCAGCAACCATTCAGGAGAACAAACACATCTCAACAAGAAACAATGCAGTATTTCATCATTAATAAAAAATGTATGTGGGGTCTGGGTCGTTGGTGGCGAGTGTCTGAATTTTACTTAAAAAGCGATTGAATCATAACATTAATCAAACTTACGATCATAGATCAGTGGAGACATTTTATTATTATTACTATTTAATTTTTTCTTTAGTTGTTTCCCCTCTGTACATGAGTATGACAGGTGAGGCTCTGCCTCCACTGACTGCACGTGCTGCGTTGAATCCTTCCAGGTGTGCATTCATAGCTGAATTGACAACCTGGTACAGAGTTCACATTCAGTTGTCACGTAGGCATTTCTTCCAGGTTGTTCATTATTATTCTATGGAGATTTTTTGTTCGAAATTCTTTATGGTCACAAACACTAAATTTTAAATCGTTACAGCAAAGGGGACAGTGGAGATTAAGAAAAAAATGAAATATTAGATAACACGTTAATGGTAATAAAGCAGCAAAGGAACAATAGAACAAATTAAAAAGTGCTCTCAAGATGAGTGTTGTAAAAAATTCAATAGGAAATTATATTTTTGGGAAATATAACTCACCCCGGAGGAGCGGGGGGGGGGGGTATTGAATTTTGACTTGAGGCCGCCCCCTTATGATACTGTCTTTTAGTTAGTGAGCCGGGAGTCATTTGGCTCGCTCTCTTTAAAGCGCCGCTGTTTCGGCTGCCCAAACGCTCTTCATGTTACCACAGTTTACCACGAGTTCAGTATCGCCGCCTGCGAAGGCTCCGGTGCTCGCAGATCAACGCGCTTGCTCCACTAAAACCCCCGCTCATCGTCGTCCAAATCGCGCACGGTTCCGATGTTGTCTGTTAGTACACTTTCCTTCACAGGAACACGCTTTGGTGGCAGTGAAAATAATCCCACCAGACTCCTTTGCCCCTCCAACAGAGGGACGTCCTTGTCCTTTTTCGTTTTCGTCATTTCAAGCGATAAAAACTCGATCTTCTCTCGAATTATTAATATTTTTGGACGGCCTCGGCTCGCGTTCAGGGCGTCCCGAGCTGAATAAGGGTGTCAAATGATGGCAAGACGCCCCCCTGGCGGAAACGCTGTTAAAAAGTCAAATTTATATGTGCTTACTGACTGCCTTTAGGATAAAACGTTTTTGCCACTTATCGGCTGAGAAACGCGCCATTAGTTGGACATTTTGGTAGCGGTGAGTTTTCAGTGCTCAGGTCATATTACACCTACAATTGTGTATTGTGCCACTTCTGACCCTTAGCATATTTTTGACGTGTTAGAGCGTTAGCCAATAAAAGCGCGATTGTTAGTAATGTCATTATGTTACAGAAGTAAATAAAGGAGTCTTTGGCAGAGAATCTCATTCTGAGGGGATTTTAGCCTTTGTAGATAATTTAAAAGCTCCAAAAACCTAGAAAATATACTACAGGAAAGGGAAAACCAAAAAGCATTATAGGGCTTTATTTTACATTATAATTAAAATGATGATAGAATATTCTGTTCATGACTATGTTGCGCTTCCAGGAGTACAATACTGCCATGAATATTTGTCTGAGGATACAAGTTGGTTAATTATTAAAGTTAAAAAAATTATGTAATGAGAAAACTGACGTATGTTTCAATGGAAATGTGGATTGTGTTTGGTGTAGACATTTTCTTTTAAATAAAAAAGGATTTCATTAATATTTAAAAAGCATGCAAAACACTGCAATGGTCATTACAGCTTTGTAGAAATGGAGCCACTGTTTGGCGATATTGAAATACACCAAAAAGCCTTCTGTGAGTATGATTTATTGAGGCATGTTGCTGCCAGCAAAAAGTACTAGAGGGAGGCCTCTGGTGCTTTCTCCCGCGCCGCTGAATGCATCACTGGAGACAGGCTGGTCGAGTGTATTGTTCCAGACAGGAAGAGTGACATCATCATACTGTTGGCTGACGGTTTCAAACCTGTTAAGCCCGAGAGACCCCGGTACTGGGGCCCTCCTGCAACATCTTGCAGGAAACAGTGTCTGAGGGCATGTTCATTTAATAAACTATGAATGTGTTGTATCCATGTAACAGAAAGAAACTCATCTAACTGATCATTTAAAAAAAGAAAAAAAAAACAAACGCCACAATGCTAACGCTGAGCCTCTGAATTAGCAACGAGCGAAAAATGCTAACAGATGACCGCACCGAAATTCACTCACAAAACAACACACTCTCACTCCATAATCGTCCAGGAGCGACGTTTGGTCAGGGTCCCATGGCGTGCAGTTGTGACGCTCCTAAGCTGAAGGAGCCTAGGAGCGTCACAACTGCACGCCATGGGACCCTGACCAAACGTCGCTCCTGGACGATTATGGAGTGAGAGTGTGTTGTTTTGTGAGTGAATTTCGGTGCGGNACTCACGCTCCGATGGCGTACGGCGCGCCCTCCCTGACAGATACCCAGACAAAGTCCCAGTCCATCTTGAAAATTTCCACGCGTGAGCACTCCTACGAGCCACCAAGAGTCGGTCTAATACCGAATACATCAACAGTGATATGTTCCTGGGGCCAGTGCTCGGAAGCGTCATAGCCAATCGATAATCCACACCGCAATCTATAAGTGAGGCATCTCTTGGCTATACTCTGGGGTGTTTCCATTTTATGGCTGTCTGGCAGGTTGGAATGTGGCGGCACGTTCAAGTGGAATGAAATCCTTGTCTAAGCTGGAGGCAGATCCATGGATGTATTTGAGGTAAACCCTCTGACTTTGTCCACAACTCTCTGATCTTTACAATTGAGTCTTTTCCATCATGCGATAATTTTGTTTTACCGGCTCCTCTCGTTTGCAGTTTCCTCCAAACCTCCTTGTATCTACAAACGGTGTGCTGCTTGGGTGTCCAATAGAAGCTATCAGACCCCGGTGAGGTACTATCTACCTATTACTGACCTCAGCAATCACTGTAAGTTAAATATTCGTTGTTAAATGACTCTCTGTTTCATTTATTCTACTCCTGTATAGATTGTTCTGAGTTAGAGCTAACGGCGATTTCGAGAGATTTTAATCTCAGATCGTCACTTCAACTGTACACAGGTCTCAGTGGTCACGCGCCTCACCCTGCTTACAATAGCAGGAACACTCTGCTGATTGCGCGGAAGGCAAACGTGGTGAGTTAGTAAACCCTCAGCTAAACACATTTAATAGCGCATTTAAATCAGATAACTCAGTGTGCATCCAGCCCGGTGAGGAACTACCGATACTGACTCAGCAATCCCTGTAAGTAAATTCTTGTTAAATTGACCTCTCGTGTTCATTAATTGCTACTCTTAGACCCTCCAGAAAAACGCGATTCTGCGATCGCATATTACCGCTAATCAGCCAAATGGCGCAAGATTTTTAAAATGCCGGCAGATTTATCAAGGCCGCATATCCCCGCATTTTCCCACCAAAATGAGCCATTTTTTTTTAACTCGTTTTGTCGTGAGCCTCAGCTCCGCATCACGAATTAACAACACATGTTATGTGAACGTGTGGAGCTCACACGATAGAGAAACACCAGAAAAAACTAATCACTCAATTTACCGACGGAACATTTCTACTAAAGACGGGCAAAAAGGGTGGAAATATTCTGCACGCCGATGAACTGTGTTGGAGCATAAGAGAAAATCCGACGTGACGGCCCACTTTGTCATTCAAACATTCGAAATGCTTTCGCTGCTGGGACAGGAAAGCCAAACGACTCACGCTCCCGAGGCATCAACCTCCAAACCTTTTTGAGGGCTACAAGAAACGAAGTGATAGCCTACAGTTGAAGCTGGTGATAACGAACGAGTAATGAAGACAGAAGGGGTGTGGTGTGTGTGTGGTGTGTGTGTGTGTGTGTGTGTGTGTGTGTGTGGTGTGTGTGTGTGTGGCCCATTGCTTTCAATAAGTAAACATGAATGTGTTTAATGAATAGTAAAAGGGTTAAACGTTAGTGGCAGTTGTGGTAGAGAGAATAAATAAGACAGCTCAATATTTAAAAAAATTGTTATTCTTTTCCCCCGCATATTTCGCAACTTTCCGCATATTTCGCAATTTCACCGCATAAAATCACATAAAACCCCGCATATTTAATCGCATAATCAAGGGTTTTAGCCCGCATAATCAAGGAATTTAGCCCGCATAATCAAGGATCTTTGCCCGCGTTTTTCTGGAGGGTCTATACTCTGTATAATTGTTCTGTAGTTATTGTAGCTAAAACGGCGATTTCTGAGCCAGACGAAGACTGACAAAGACATTGGAGTCCTGTTGGAGTCACGAGGGAGGCAAAGAGGAGGCAAATCCTACTTTGATTGAGCTAAGTATCGCTGGTGTTTTCTTTTGTTTTATTCAATTCTCTTTGGTTTTTTAGCCCCTCATGCTATAATCATGTGTATTTTCTCCATTGCTGTTCATGTGTCCTCTCGCAATTATCACTGGCCCCGTGTATCTCCTAATCGATATAACCGGCCTGCTCTTGTCTATCCCACATGCTCCACTGAGATCCAACATCTCGTTTCAGGGGGCCTGTGGAACTGCCAGTCAGCTGTTCCTAAGGCTGACTTCATCTCTGGCTACGCTTCCCTGCAGTCTCTGGATTTCCTTGCTCTCACGGAGACCTGCATCACTTCATCCAACACATCCACCCCAGCAGCTCTCTCCACAGCATATTCCTTCTCCCATACACCCAGACCCTCTGGCAGAGGAGGTGGCACTGGTCTCCTGCTCTCTCCCAACTGGAGCTTTTCCCTCTTCAAGCTACCTAACTTCACTCCTTCCACCTTTGAATTCCATGCTGTTACAGTAACCCATCCTATACTATACAATAATTAATCATTGTTGTTCTCTACCGTCCACCAGGCGCCTTGGGGGACTTCTTGGAGGAGTTAGATAATCTCCTCTCACACATCCCTGAAACTGGCCCTCCCGCTGTACTTCTCGGAGACTTCAACCTCCAGACAGGGAAGATAGCTGAACTAACATCTGTTTTAACCACCTTTGCTTTCTCACTGTCTCCATCCCCACCAACTCATAACGCTGGCAATGTCCTTGATCTCATATTCTCAAGGAACTGCACTACTTCTAACCTCTCTGTAAACCCGCTCCACACATCCGATCACTTCTTCATTTCATTCTCTCTACCCCTTTCCAAACATAACAACCTAATCTCTTCTCATCCGGCACCTGTCGGATGACTCGTTCCAACTCCTGCCTCCAAACTCTGCTGCAGAAACTCTCCTCTCTACTCTCTCATTCTCTCTGGACTCTCTCTGTCCTCTCACATCTCGGCAGGCTCGTCAGTCCCCTCCTGCTCCCTGGCTAAATGACGCACTGCGTGCTAATAGAACCATCCTT